GAAGGCTGAGGCGGAAGGATCGCCGGAGCCCAGCAGGTCGAGGCTGCGGTGGCCGGGAGCGGCCACTGCACTCCAGTCTGGGTGACAGAGTGAGACTCCAACTCAAAAAAAAAAAGAAATGGTACTGGAAGGTAAAGGAGAAAAGAGCAAATATTCTGACAGGATCACCAGATCTCTGATCTGAGAGCGAGACCTAATTTCAGGTATCACTGTAGTGGATTGAGAATTAAGGTAACCCTGTGGATCCAGCTAGGAAAACAACCTGTGTAGATAACATGAATTAGAAAGTAAATGATGAGTATTCTAGAAGCTTATGTCAAGGGTAAGTTGTAACACATGATTACAGACTGAAAGCCAACTTTCTAAGAGAGGTACCCTTTGTGCCAGAATCTTCTAAGCTGTTATTTATAGTTTCTTTTTGTTTGTCTTTTGAATTGGAGTCTTGCTCTGTCTCCCAGGCTGGAGTGCAGTGGCATGCTGCTCATGGCCACCACAGCCTCGACCTGCTGGGCTCAGGCAATCCTTTCGCCTTAGCCTTCCAGATAGGTGGAACTACAGGCATGTGCCACCACACCCAGTTAATTTTTCTTGATTTCTTGTAGAGATGAGGTCTCACCAAATTGCCCAGGCTGGTCTTGAACCCCTGGGCTCAGGCAGTCCTCTCACCTCGCCTCCCAAAGTGCTGGGGTTATAGGCATGAGCCACCGTGACTGACCTGTAGTTTTTCTTATGCTTAAGAAACTCTTTTTTTCTGTGTCTGTGCTGTGTGTGTGTGTGTGTGTGTGTGTGTGTGTTTTCAGAAATAGTCTGAAGTTGCAAAGCTTTCTCTTTCTAATTTTTTTTTATTATAGAGTTGTGGGGTACAAGTGAGGACTAACTACATAAGTAGGCTGCATACAGATGAAGTTGGGCTTCTAACTGGCCCTCACTCCCCCTGGTAGTGGACCAGGTACTCTTTGTGTTGTCACATGTACCCCCCACCTTCTTCCTCCCTCCCTTCTTCCCCTAGCAGTGCCCTAGACTGCTGATCCCACCCTTCTGCTAATGTGACTAGTGTTTAGGGCCCACTTATGAGTGAGAACATGCAGTATTCAGTTCTTGGTTTCTGTGATAGTTCACTTTGTATGATGGTCTCCACCTCTACTTAAGTTGCTGCAAATTCTGTGATTTTGTTCTTTTATGTGTTAAAGTTGCAGAGCTTTCTAAAGTGTGATAATTATCTTACAGTCTCTGTGATTTGATTTCTTAATGTTCACTGTCACTCTAAGGTCACTTTTGTCTTTTTAGATATTTAGCTTCCTGTGGTATACTGATGAGCCGAACTCTTCCACTACATACCTCACTTTTGCCAAAGGAGATATATGCAAGAACTTTCTTCAAAATCGCTGCACCATTAATAAACAAAAGGAAAGAATATTCAGAGAGGAGAATTTTAGGGTTTGTATATAATAAGAATTCTACTATAAGAGCACATTCACAATTTTTTATGGAGTATCTTGCCTCTTTCTGTAGATTATCTTCTTACAGACTAAGCACTGGCTTTTCTAGATTCGCCTTTTCATAGCCCTGTTTTGTAAATATCTGTTGAATTAATATAGTTATATGGTATCTTTATAATATTGATTTAAACCTTGACATGTAAAGGAAATTATCTGTTTATGACCTGCATGTTTATATACTGTTCTTTTCTGTAGTGGCAACATTACTGATTTATTGGGCCACTTGTTTACATAGCTCCCTCACATACATAGATAAGTACATGCAGACATACTGAGGCTCCTGATCTAGATGCTGGGTTGGTAAACTTTTTCTATAAAGGGTTAGATAAGAACTATGTTGGGATTTGTGGGCCATAGGGCTACTCAGCTCTGTCACTGTAGCCCAACAGCAGACATAGATGATATGTAAATAAATAGATGTGGCCATGTTCCAATGAAACTTTATTTACAAAAATGGGTGATTTTGGTCCCTGATCTATGGCGATATACAGCAGAGTATAAAGACACTGCAATTCTGCTAATCTAGAAATACACCATCCTCCCATAAGGGAGTTTCTACAAGTGGATCTTAATTCGCAGCAGGCTATTATGTATTACATGAAACTTTGTAAAAGTGCATTTCATTGATTTTACTCATTTGCTTTTAGTCTTCTGCTTTTTCTGTAGTAAAAGATTTACAGCATTGGTCACAAAATTTACATTTACTACTGGTTAGTCACTGTATTAGTTAAGGTAGTGCTAGCAGCTATACATAAAATACCCAAAGGTTTATTTCTTTCTCATTTAAAGTTCAACTGGGTGTTCCCTCTCAGTGGACTCTTCCGAGTCCTGACTCAGGAACCCAGTCTCCATCCATTGTCTGGCTTCTATAATTCCTTAGTCTTCAGAGTGTTAACATGATATATCTTCTTAACCACATTGGTCTGGAAGTGACAAACAGCACTTCCTCCTGGATATTATGGGCAAGAACTAGTCATGTGATACCATCTAAATGCAAGGGGAGTAGGGGTTAGGAATTGTAGTAGGCCAGGTACTTCCTTGCAGCAATACCATGCAAAGGTATGTAAATATTTGCATAGGTAGATGTCTTTGCCACAGCTGGCATTGGTTAAAAAGAGAAATGGTGCTAGGCACAGTGTCTCATGCCTATAATCCCAGCACTTTGGGAGACGGAGGTAAGAGGATTGCCTGAGCCCAGGGGTTCAAGAACAGCCTGGGCAATGTAGCCAGCCCTCATCTCTACAATAAATTAAAAAAAAAAAAAAAAAGGCCAGGCATGGTGGCCCAAGCCTATAATCACAGCACTTTGGGAGAGTAAAGCGAGAGGATTGCCTGAGTTCAGGCTGGGCAGCTCGGTGAGACCTTATCTCTACAATAAATCAAAAATTAGCCTGGTATGATAGTGCACACCTGTAGTTCCAGCTACTTGGAAGGCTGAGGCAAAAGGATCGCCTGAGCCCAGCAGATCGAGGCTGTGCTGGCCATGAGCATGCCACTGCATTCCAGCCTGGATGACAGTGTGAGACTACAACTTAAAAAAAAAAAAAATTGACCAGGCATGGTGGCACACACCTGTGGTTATAGCTACTTGGAAGGCTGAGGTGGAAGGATCACCTGAGCTCAGCAGGTCAAAGCAGTGGCTGCGAGTGTGCCACTGCACTCCAACCTGGATGACAGAGTGAGACTCTGTCTCAATTAAAAAAAAAAAAAGGGAGATGGCATGGTCTCAAACTTTTTTTTTTGAGTTGGAGTCTCACTCTGTCACCCAGACTGGAGTGCAGTGGCCGCTCCCAGCCACCACAGCCTCAACCTGCTGGGCTCCGGTGATCCTTCCTCCTCAGCCTTTCTAGTAGCCGGAATTACAGGCATGCGCTACCACGCCCAGCTGATTTTTTGATTTATTGTCGAGATGAGGTCTCGCTACCCAGGCGGGTCTCGAACCCACGGGCTCAGGCAATCCACTCACCTCAGCCTCCCAAAGGCGCGGGATTATAGGCTGAGCCACCAAGCCTGGCTCAAACTCTTTTTTAAAAAAAAGAAATGGCAACTAATAAGATAAATAGTGATTTAGTACTTACTGCTTTACTTCTGAATCACTAATAATATCTACCTTTTACTGTGTATCTGCTATTTGATATGGGTACTGCTGGGTGATTTATATTTATTATTTCATATAGTCCTCATAATTATCATATAACGTAAGTATTCTCTTTTTAGACATAAGGAACCTAACATATATTAAGTGTTAGGATTCCAACATACATTAAGTTTTAGGATTCCATAGCTTATTTTTTCCTATCATATTTATTTTGCTGTCTTCTTCTTCCTCATGCCAAAATTCTTTTTTTTTAAATTGGTCTTATTTCATGATCTTCACCTTATCTTCCCCCCATATTTGGCATAAACACTTGATAATAGGTGTTCATTAAGTATTATGTACCATGTTGAAATTTTTTGTTTTTGTTTTTGTTTTTGAGTAGGATTCTCACTCTGTCACCCAGGCTGGAGTAGTGGAATGATCATGGCCGCCACAGGCTCCACCTACTGAGCTCAGGTCAGCCTTCTGCCTCAGCCTTCCAAGTAGCTGGAACTACGGGTGTGCACTACTGTGCCCAGCTAATTTTTTTTTAATTTATTGTAGAGATGCGGTTGCCCAGACTGGTTTTGAACCTGTAGGCTCAGGCAATCCTCTCACCTCCACCTCCCAAAGTTTCTTTTTCTTTCTTTCTTTCTTTCTTTTTTTTTTGAGTTGAGTCACCCAGGTTCAAGTGCAGTGGCACAATCATGACTCACTGCAGCCTCGACCTCCTGGGCTCAGGTGATACTTCAACCTTAGCTTCCTGAGTAGCTGAGATTACAAGTCCGCACCACCATGCCTGGCTAATTTTTTTATTTTATGTAGAGATGAGGTCTTGCCATGTTGGCAAGACTAGTCTTGAACCTCTGGGCTCCAGAGCCTTCCATCCACCTCAGCCTTCCAAAGTACTAGAATTAGTCATGAGCCACCACTCCTGGCTATTTTCTGTGTTTATTTGAAGTCATTCATTTCAGAGTATGGTTCAGCATGTGTTGTAAATGATTTATTGCATCATACCTAATATGTTTTATTCATCTCTAACTTAAAGTAAGCATATACCATGTAACTAGACGCAGTTAACATCGCTTGTCTTTTTTTTCTTTTAAGATATTCAATGCAGGAAATGTATGATGTGGTATCAGGAGTGGAGGATTACAAGCATTTTGTTCCTTGGTGTAAAAAATCAGACATAATATCAAAGAGATCTGGATATTGCAAAACACGATTAGAAGTTGGATTTCCACCTGTGTTGGAGCGATATACATCAGTAGTAACCTTGGTAAAACCACATTTGGTCCAGGTAATCGTTTTGTTTTTAAATATTCCCTAAGAATTATGTCAAATGGGTTAAAGTATAGTAGCTTTAAGAGATTGTATTAAGCTAATAGGAGGAAAAGAAAACAAACCATTTATTATATCTCCTCTTTTTGCTTTGTATACAATATTAGCATTGTCCTTTTCAAATAGACATTTGATAGAATGTAGAAATTAAGAACCTTTTCTTTTTTTTCCTCTCTATTGAGAACTACTGACCCACAAGCAACATCACTTGGGCCACAGTGAGAAATGTTCTAATTTAAGCTTTGTACTGCTTAAAATACATATATAATTTTTAATATATATTTTATATTACATATATACTTTACCACAGGGGGATAATAAATTTTTGTATTAAATATATTTTTTAAAGGTTACAGAAGGAATAGTGGGAAGGAAGGAGGGAAACAGGGTGAAGAACAGAAAGAAACTGCTGGGAATGGTGGCTCACACCTATAATCCCAGCACTTTGGGAAGTGGAGGCAAGAGGTTTGCCTGGGCCCAGGGCTTTGAGACCATCCCAGCAACTTGGTTTCAGCTACTTGAAACCTGTGGTTTCAGCTACTTGGAAAGCTGAGGCAGAAGGATCACCTGAGCCCAGTAGGCCAAGGCTGTGGTGGACATGAGTATGCTGCGGCACTCCAGCCTGGGCGACAGAATGAGACTCCTACTCAAAAAAAAAAAAGAAAGAAAAGAAAGAGAGGGAAGTGGTGAGAGGAGGAAAAAAGATAGAAAAGATACAAATACGAAAAATATTAACGTTGAGGTTGTCTTGCCAGGTACTAAAATGCCAAGTTCTCTTATGTTGTATTTGCCCTTTCACCTTGTCAGAGGCAGATACACATGTGGAAAAGGTATTCAGACTTAAACACAAAACAGCAGAATTCCATGGAATAATACCTATTTATTTTGTTTTGTTTTATTTTATTTTATGAGTCAGAGTCTCACTGTGTCGCCCAGACTAGAGTGCAGTGGCCACTCCCGGCCACTGCAGCCTCGATCTGCTGGGCTCCGGCGATCCTTCCGTCTCAGCCTTCGAGTAGCTGGAACTACAGGCGTGCGCTACCACGCCTGGCTAATTTTTTGATTTATTGTAGAGATGAGGTCTCGCCGGGTTGCCCGGGCGGGTCTAGAACCCGCGGGCTCAGACAATCCACTCATCTCAGCCTCCCAAAGCGTGCGATTATAGGCTGAGCCACCGAGCCCGGCTAACCAAAGACCTTTAAAGCTGTGTTTTGTGCCCACAGAATTTAAAGGTGATGTCATTTCTTGGTAACTGGCTAGAGCTAAATACCCTAGTCAGCTAGATGCAATGACTCTTGCTTGTAATCCCAACACTTTAGGAAACCAAGACAGGAGAATTGCTTGAGGCCAGGAGTTCAAGATCAAACTAAGCAATATCACAATAACCCATATCTACCAAAAAAAAATGTTAAAATTAGCTGGGCACAGTAGTGTATGCCTCTAGTTCTAGCTACTCAGGAGTCTGAGGCAGGAGGATTGTTTGAGGCCAAGAGTTTGAGACCAGCCTGGGCAACATAGTGAGACCTCGTCTTTACCCAATAACTAATAATAAGTACTTAAAGAAATCAACCTCAATCATGGTAGATTCTGGCCGGTGCCAAAGGTATTTAACTGTGATTTGATTTTTTTTTTTTTTTCATTTTGTTCTAGGCATCCTGTACTGATGGGAGACTTTTCAAACATTTGGAGACTATTTGGCGTTTTAGCCCAGGTCTTCCTGGCTACCCAAGAACTTGTACCTTGGATTTCTCAGTAAGTCTCTCATAAAGCCCTTGATTTATTTCACACATGAGATGAAGTTGGTAAAGAAATAATAATTCATTTTTTAAGAGCCAGATGCCGTAATTATCTTATATGCACAGAGATTATTGAAACATACTTTTGTAAAAAAAAAAAAAAATCACAGACTTTTAAGTATTGAATACTTTTTTTCTGTACAAGTGCTAATGAGCATTTCTCTTTTATTTTCTCTTTTTTGTGTGTGAGGTGGGGTCTCATTCTTCTGTTGCTCAGGTTGGAGTGCAGTGCCATGATCACAGCTCACTGCAGCCTCAACCTCCTGGCTCAGAAAGTCCTTCCACATCTACCTCTCAGGTAGCTGGGACTACAAGCGCACACCACCACGTCTTGCTAATTTTTTGATTTTTTTGTAGAGATGAGGTTTCACTGTTGCCTAGGCTGGTCTCGAACTCTTGGGCTCAAGCACATCTCCTGCCTTGGCTCCCAGAATACTGGGATTATAGGTGTGAGGCATTACACTCAGCTGGCATTTCTTTTTCTGTTTTATTTTTTACAACTTTTGAATATTTATTTTTCTCTATTTTCTAATTTTTACAAATCCATAGATTATAAGGCACATGCCTTTATTTCCTACTAACTTAATAATAGTATTATGCTTAAGAACAGTTTAAAACTAACACCAAATTACACATTGCATAGAAGATGCGGAAATAAAGTGCAAAGGAAAATATATACATACACATACACACATATATCTTTTTTTTTAACTTTTAATTTTTTTATTTTAAAGAGGTGGGATACAATTTAGGGTTAGGTATACAAATGTTCATTATGCAGGTCCCCTTGTTGATGAGGTGTGAGCCCCCCTTCCCCAGGCAGATTCCCACTACTGCCAATCCTGCCTCCCTGCCCCCTACCCCTTTTATTTTCTCAATTTTTTGGAGTTGGAGTCTCACTCTTTCACTCAGGCTGGAATATAGTGACATACTCCTGGCCACTGCAGCCTCGACCTGCTGAATTCAGGTAATCCTACTGCCTCAGTTTTCCAAGTATCTGGAATGACACATGTGTGCCACCACGTCCAGCTTATTTTTTGATTTATTGTAGAGACAAGGTCTCACCAAGTTGCCTAGGCTAGTCTTGAACCCCTGAGCTCAGGTAGTCCTCTCACCTCAACCTCCCCAAGTGTTGGGATTACAGGCGTGAGCCACCATGCCTGACTAGGCATTGAATTCTAAGAGATGGTGGTAATTTTGACTAAATTATTGTATGCTGTTCTCAGCTCTGGAATAACTTCCTTTTAAAAATCAGTGTAGGCTGGGCTCAGTGGCTTAGCCTGTAATCCCAGCACTTTGGGAGGCCAAGGCGAGTAGATTTCCTGAGCCTGTGGGTTCGAGACCACTTGGTGAGACCTTGTCCCTACAAAAAATAATTTAAAAAAATTAGCTGGGCATGGTGGCACACACCTGTAGTTCCAGTTACTTGGAAGACTGAAGTGGAAGGATTGCCTGAGCCCAGCTGTTCAAGGCTGTGGTGGCCATGAGCGTGCCACTGCAGTACAGCCTGGATGACAGAGTGAGACTCCAACTCAAAAATTTTTTTTTTAATTTAAAAATTAGAAAAAAAATAAGGCTGGGTACAGTGGCTCATGCCTGTAATCCCAGCACTTTGGAAGGCCGAGGTGAGAGGATTGCCTGAACCCATGGGTTCGAGACCAGCCTAGGCAGCTTGGCGAGACCTCATCTCTATAATAAATCAAAAAATTAGCTGGGCGTGGTGGTGTGTGTCTGTAGTTTCAGCTACTTGGAAGTCTGAGATGGAAGGATCACCTGAGCCCAGCAGGTCGAGGCTGTGGTGGCCATGAGCATGCCACTGCACTCCAGCCTGGGTGACAGAGTGAGACTCCAGCTCAAAAAATAAAAATAAAGACCGGGCATGGTGGCTCAAGCCTGTAATCCCAGCACTTTGGGAGGCTAAGGTGAAAGGATTTCCTGAGACCTGGGGTTCATGACCAGCCTGGACAACTTGGTGAGACCTCATTTCTACAATAACTTTTTAAAAAAATTAGCCAGGCATGGTGGTGTGCTCCTGTAGTTCCAGCTACTTAGAAGGCTGAAGCGTAAGAATTGCCTGAGCCCAGCAGGTCAAGAATGTGGTGACCGTGAGCGTGCCACTGCATTCCAGCCTGGACATCAGGGTGAGACTCCAACTCAGAAGAAAAAAAGGAACATGCAGTGTTTGGTATTCTGTTTCTGAGTTAGTTCACTTAGCACGATGATCTGCAGCTCCATCTATGTTGCTGCAGAGGACGTGATTTGTTTTTTTTTAACGGTTGCCATGGGAATTCTTTGTACTGTTTTTTAAGTTTTCTTATAAAAATGAAATTATCTCAGACTCAAAAGTTAAAACATTTGAAAACAGAGTCTATTTAATGGTCTTTAAAACAGTGTTTTGCCGGGCGCGGTGGCTCACGCCTGTTATCCCAGCACTTTGGGAGGCCAAGGAGAGAGGATTGCCTGAGTTCAGGTAACCCCTGAGGCCAGCCTGGGGAATTTGACAAGACCTCATCTCTACAATAAATCCAAAAATTAGCTGGTGGTAGCTCATGCTTGTAGTTCCAGCTACTTGGAAGACTGTGGCAGAAGGATCACCTGAGCCCACTAAATTGATGTTGCAGTGGCCGTGAGTGTGCCACTGCACTCCAACCTGGGCAACAGAGTGAGACCCTGGTTCGCCAAAAAAAAAAAAAAAAAAAAAGACGTGTTTCTCTTGCCGGGTGCGGTGGCTCAGCCTGTAACACTTCGGGATGCCTGAGCTAGAGGCGTGCTAGAGGATTGCCTGAGCCCAGGGGTTCAGGGCCAGCCTGTGCAACTTGGTGAGACCTTGTCTCTACAATAAATTTAAAAATTAACTAACTATGGCAGTACACACCTGTAGTTCCAGTTCTTGGAAGCCTGAGGCGGAAGGATCTCCTGAGCCCAGCAGGTCGAGGCTATAGTGGCCTTGAAGGTGCCACTGCAGTCCAGCCTGGGCAACAGAATGATACTCCAACTCAAAAAAAAATAAAAAACACAGCTGGGTATGGTGCCTCAGGATTGTAATCACAGCAGTTTGGGAGGATGAGGTGAGAGGATTGCCTGAGCTCAGGGGTTCAAGACAACATGACAAGACCTCACCTCTACAATAAATAAAAAAATTAACTGGATGTGGTGGTGCACACCTGTGAGTTCCAACTACTTGGAAGTGTGAGGTGGAAGTATCGCCTAGGCAAATAAGTGAGACTCCGACTGCAAAAAACAACAACAGTGTTTCTCAAGCCAGTTTTCTTGACTTCTTTGTGGAACAGTGAGGATATCAGTGACTTTCTAAATCATTGGCTACTTAGGATTGAGCCACCTGCTCTGTCTGCACATGCATCAGGCATGCATGTGTATGCTCACAAGTTATCTCATCTTCTTGATGGTGTGTCCCATGGAATGATGCCCAAGAGAAGCACAACTTCACCTCCTTACTTCCTCTTGTGGGGGACGATGGTTCTAAGTGGGGTACATTAGGGGCTGGACACGGTGGCTCATGCTTATAATCCCAGTACTTTGGGAGGCCAAGGTGGGTGGATTGCCAGAGCCCATGGGTTCGAGACCAGCCCGGGCAGCTTGGCGAGACCTCATCTCTAATAAATCAACAAAAATGAGCTGAGTGTGGTGGCACATGCCTATAGTTCCAGCTACTTGAAAGGCTGAAGCGGAAGGATCACCTGAGCCCAGCAAGTCGAGGCTATGGTGGCCGTGAGTGTGCCACTGCATTCCAACTTGGGTGACAGAGTGAGATTCCAACTCAAAGAAAAAATGGGGGGGGGTACCTTTAATAACACACCAGTGATCAATGTGGTATTCAGGAAAGCTCTTTCCAGTCTTCTCTGACTTATGAAGAAGAGACACTTTTCCTGGAAGTGAGTCACTGGCTTGTGTCATTCAGATGACTGTGCCAGTGGTTACTCTTCTTGCAGTAAAGAAGATTCCCTCTGCTGAGGGTGCCACAAACCCTCCCTAACTTTATCCACTCTAGGTGTGAACACTGCTAGCCTAAGTGGAGATTTAGTAACAAAGAAAATATCTTTCTGAAATAACTTGTAACATTTTCCTACAGATTTCTTTTGAATTTCGCTCACTTCTGCACTCTCAGCTTGCCACATTGTTTTTTGATGAAGTTGTAAAGCAGATGGTCGCTGCCTTTGAAAGAAGAGCATGTAAGCTGTATGGTCCAGAAACAGACATACCTCGGGAACTAATGCTTCATGAAGTTCATCACACATAATGAGAGAAGAGAACTGGTATCACCGATTAGTAACCTTAGTGTGTTCACCTTTAGGAAGTGTTTTCATCTTTTCAGAAGTCAGGTAGCATTTGTTAAACTCAGCTTTGATTATAAACCTGCACCATTGATAATTTGCACACAGAATATGGATACTTTTACTTAAACTTATTTTTTCAATCAAATGTAACTCAAAGTAATATGTACATTATCATGTTCTGCATTCACCGTAATGGGATGTCATCACCGTTGCCAGAATATTGACATCATTCTTCTCAGCAGAAACTGAAACTATAAATTTCAGCCTTTTAATTATTACCTTACCTGAAAGAGATTAGTTAAGATATTCACACAGTTTGTATTATATTAACCATATCACGCTTAAGTTATTAAATTCAAACTATTTATAACTTATTGTTATAGGGTCTGCCATATGGCTTAGGATATTTGAATAATCATCATTTAAAAGATTGTTAATGAAGGTTCCCTGACACTTTTGATATTTTAAAATTGTTCTTATGTGTAATAGATAATTCAGTGTTTTAACAAGTTTAGCTCCCAGTAAACAGTGATTTTTTTATTTTTTATTTTTTTGGTGAGTGGTCCAGAGCTTTAAGCTACTTTCCAGTAGTTTATAACCTTCTACATCCTTTGGCTACTCTGAATCATGCAGCTGCATGTCACATTTTGTCTACAGCAGTAGACACAGATAAAGCTAAGCTGGTTGTGTCTCCAGCACTGTGTATCTCTTTTTCTATTTATTGTGTGTGCTCACTTTCAGTAATGTATTTCAAACTGATATTTTTTAAACAAATCAATGAAAGGACTGAAGTAGTATCTTAATAAAGTTCATTTGTTTCTTTTTTATACAGTTACTTCAGTTATTGAAAGCTTCCTGTATTGTTTCAATGTAAATTTACATGGGCATAGTAAAGTGTTATTTACCCAAAAGTGCCTTTATAGAAATGGACTTTGACAATGACAAATATCTTTCTCTCCACCTCGAACAATCCTCTGGCATTAAACTTCAAGCAATCCTGCTGTTGACTGTATTTCTTCAGATCCCCAGGGGCCCTGTCATGAGTTCTCTACAGAAATACATATAATGTGAATTTGTTCAGTAAGTCTATTGGTACCTGCTTTCTCTCTGACACTGGGTGAAGGCCTCACGTGGAACTTGGGTGTGCTTCTTACAGTAAGTGTTCTTCCCCTTGTAGATGAGGGGTCTGCCCAATGCATGCATAGTGTGCATATAGCTATATACCTTTTTTTTTCTTGAGTCAGAGTCTCACTCTTTTGCCCAGGCTGGAGTGCAGTGGTATGCTCACAGCTGCAGGCTCAAGTGATCCTCTTGCCTCAGCCTTCCAAGTAGCTGAAACCACAGGCATGCGCCACCACACCCGGCTAATTTTTTGATTTATTGTAGAGACAAGGTCTCACCAAGTTGCCCAGGCTGTTCTCAAACCCCTGGGTTCAGGCAATCCTCTTGCCTCCACCTCCTAAAGTGCTGGGATTACAGGCATGAACCACCGCACCCAGCCAACTATATACTTTTTTAGTAACAAGGTTTTTTAGAAATGGCAAAGTCATTTAGTTTTTTTAAAAAACTATGACTCAGTTATTTTTCTTCTTTCCCTATCATATGTTTCTTCTCTTAATGGAAATAAGAGTCCTCTTTCCACTGCTTATACAATTGCCTTAAGTGAACTTAAGGCTGCGCATGGTGGTTCATGTCTGTAGTCCCAACACTTTGGGAGGCTGAGGTGGGAGAATTGTGTTAGGCCAGGAGTCCAAGACCAGCCTGGGTAACATAGTGAGACCTCGTACCTAAAAAAGAAAAAATGAACTTAGATTCAGAGTCTGAGTTAGTCTTGGGATGGAACTGGGCTGGGAGTATGGCATTGTGAAGATAGCAGTTTGGTTAGGGGCCTCGGGGAAACCAGATACTGCTTTGACCATCCCATTGACCCATGACATTCACCAAGCACAGTCAGGATAACCAAGGAACAAGAGACAGAAAAAGACAATGCTGATTTCAGGTTTGCTAGGGTGTATCCTCGTTTATGCTGAATTCTAAGCAGTTTTGAACTTGGGACAAAGCTCAGTTGCCTGATCTAGTCTCTCAAGTTCTAGAAATAAGTTCTAGTTAACACCAGTGCTCCCTTTATGTATCCAGCAACCACAGTGGCCATTTGAATGTTAACAGGAATCCTGGGTCTTTGTAGGTCTTAAGTCCAAGTTTAGAATGTCCAAGTTTATACTCCTTTGTGGAGTTCATCTGAGTCTACGTAGCATTCTCTGTTCAGCACCTCCAAGAAGGGAACAGACTTGGCCAGGTTTTCAGAGGGTAATTCTATAATATTCTCTCCATTTACTTCTTCCCTGTCTGTAAGAAAATGAGTTTATAAGATCCTGGTATGTAGATAATCAGGATTTCATGGGGCTGACACAAGTTTTCAAGGCTCAAGTTTTTAGGCGTTTTTTTAAAAATTACTTTGTCTTTACACTTACATAGCTCTATATGCCAGGCACTGTTTTAAGAACTTTGTGAACATTTCATCCTAATAAATTTTGTGGTATTATATGGTTAGTATCTCCATGTTACATACATATAAAGAGATAGAGCTGGGCTCAATGGCTCAAACAGATCCCTTTTCTAAAAAAAATTTTAAAGTAGATAGGTGAGGTGTTGTGTACCTCAGAGCCATGATCAGGCCATTACACCACCCTTGGTGACAGAGCAAGACCCTGTCTTTTAGGGGGAAAAAAGGTAAAGAGATTAAGTAACTTTGCCATGTCACTGTAACAGAGTCAGGATGAAAACCCCCATGTTCCAGCTGCAGTATCTGTACTCACATGTTTGCTTTATCTAGTCCAACAGTCTTGAGGCCAGGACTTGTGATTCTGCAGTGGACAGGTCTGTGCAGCCCCACCCTCAAAGGTGGTAGAAGCTGGAGGTTTAAGAAAGGCTGACAAATCCACCTTCTCAGAAACTATTTATTTATTTGTGCATGCTACTGGCCTCAGGTGATCCTTTCACTTCAGCCTTCCAAATAGCTGGAACTACAGACATGTGCCACCACTCCCAGCTAATTTTTTTGATTTATTGTAGAGATGAGGTCTTGGCCAAGTTGCCCAGGCTGGTCTCAAACCCATGGACTCAGGCAATCCTCTTGCCTCCACCTCCCAAAGTGCTGGGATTACAGCCGTGAGCCACCGCATCCTGCCAGAAAGAAACATTTAATAGGAACTTAGAAACAGGAACAGAAGCTGGATCTCGAGCAGCCAGAGGCAAGATGCCGGATCCCTACCTAGACCCAAAGCTTTTAAGAACTCAGAATCGGCTGGGCTCAGTGGCTCAGTTTGTAATCCTACCACTTTGGGAGGCCAAGGTGAGTGGATTGCACCCATGGGTTCAAGACCAGCTTGGGCACATTGGTGAGACCTCGTCTCTACAATAAATAAAACATTAGCCAGGCGTGGTAGCACGCACCTGTAGTTCTGGCTACTTGCAAGGCTGAGGTGGAAGGATCACCTGAGCCCAGCAGGTCGACGTTGGGGTGGCCGTGAGTGTGCCACTGCACTCCAGCCGGGGTGGCAGGGTGAGACTCTGCCTCAAAAAGAAAAAACACTCAGAATCCTGACATCCTCAGCAGTTGTGAATCAACTATGAAGGTGCCAACTCAGTATATACGAGAGAGAACAATTTCTGGTGTGTTTAATTGGTTACTGGATTACTTCCAGTCACCCTTCCTCCTCCTATCTGAACTGCTGACCTCCGGATGCTGTGCCACTGTCCATGGTCCTCCGACCACCATAGTCGTCCAAGGATTTCTCTTCTCTTTCCTTTTTGGGGCTCTCTATTTCCTGCATTTTTGCCTTCCTCTTTGATTTACTTTTAAAATGCTGAAGGAAATCCTCTAGTGCCTTCCTGAGAAAGGGTGAGAGAGAGCTAATTTAAGACTCCTGGCCAAACGCGGTAGCTCACGCCTGTAATCCCAGCATTTTGGGAAGCCGAGGTAGGAGGATTGCTTGAGGAGTTCAAGAGCAGTCTCAGCAACAAAGTAAGACCTCATCTTTACAAAAAAAATAGAAATTACCTGGGCATGGAGGTGTGCGCCTGTAGTCCCAGCTACCTGGGATACTGAGGCAGGAGGATCACCTGAGCCCAGGAGTTGGAGGCTGTGGTGAGCTGTGATCATGTCACTGCACTTCAGGCTGCGTGACAGAGTGAGAACTTGACTCAAAAAAAGAGTTCTGGCTGGGTTCAGTGACTCAGCCTGTAATCCCAGCACTTTGGGAGGCCGAGGTGAGTGGATTGGCTGAGCCCGCGGGTTCGAGACCAGCCCGGGCAACTTGGTGAGACCTTATCTCTACAATTAAAAGGAAAAAAGTCCTTAAGTGTCTGAATATGTCATTGTTTGGTACTCATACTTCATTGGAGGGGACAAATATTCAAGCCATAGCTATTAGTGAGGGGCTAGTGGTTCCACTGTCTGCCCTTAATTGCTCTTCAGCTCCCTGTTTTATTCTCTTTTATCTTTTATCTTTTTTTTTTTTTTTTTGAGTTGGAGTCTCACTCTGTCGCCCAGACTGGAGTGCAGTGGCCGCTCCTGGCCACTGCAGCCTCGACCTGCTGGGCACCGGCGATCCTTCTGCCTCAGCCTTCCAAGTAGCTGGAACTACAGGCTGAGCCACTGAGCCCGGCTCTTTTTTCTTTTTTTTTAACGATAAGGTCCCACTATGTTGCCCAGGCTGGTCTTGAACTTCTGGCCTCAAACAATCCTCCCACCTCAGCCTCCCAAAGTGCTGGAATTACAAGCATAAGCCACTGCAATCCTCCCCCTCCCATCTTATTCTTCCTAGCTCTTTTCTCTCTGGTGTCTTGGACCCAGAGCCTGTCCTATTCAATTTCCACAAAGAGTTAACCTTCAGTTTCCTAGCAGCAGGAGACCTAGAGGTCCAGAATTGCAGTCATAACAACCTTCAGTGGATTATACCCTGTTTTCAATCCCACACTTGACCGGACCCCCTAGTCTCAGAAGCTCTGTGGGGTAATGCATCTTGTATTTCTTCCTCTAGGCTCTTCTGTTGTAACGTCCTCACCTCTGCCAAGCCAGCTTTCCCCTGTCCAAGTCATTTATCACTGGCCTGTCCTTCTCACTGCCAAGCCTGACAAGTCACTCTGCTGCAGTCATTTCCTTGTCTTTGTAATTCATTTCCTTATTATCTGTTCAGCAGGATTTTAAGAACAGATGATAAATAAGGGAGTGGACACACTCATTTTTATAGCCTCCCATCCACAGTTTTTTGTTTGTTTGTTTGTTTGTTTGTTTTGAGTTGGAGTCTCACTGTCGCCCAGACTGGAGTGCAGTGGCCGCTCCCGGCCACCGCAGCCTCGACCTGCTGGGCTCCGGCGATCCTTCTGCCTCAGCCTTCCGAGTAGCTGGAACTACAGGCGCACGCTACCACGCCCGGCTGATTTTTTGATTTATTGTAGAGATGAGGTCTCACTGCCCAGGCGGGTCTCGAACCTGCGGGCTCAGGCAATCCACTCACCTCAGCCTCCCAAAGGCGCGGGATTACAGGCTGAGCCACCGAGCCTGGCTCATCCACAGTTTTAAACCTGAGTTTTCAGCTGGGCTTGGTGGCTCACACCTGTAATCTCAACACCTTGGGAGATGGAGGTGAGAGGATTGCCTGAGTCCAGGGGTGAGGACAGCCTGGGCAACTTGGCAAGACCCCATCCCTACAATAAATCAAAAAATTAGCTGGACATTGTAACTCACATCTGTAGTTCCAGCTACTTGGAAGGCCAAGGTGGAGGATTGCCTGAGCCCAGCAGGCCGAGACTACAGTGACCGTGAATGTGCCACTGCACTTCAGGCTTCACGACAGAGTGAGATTCCAAGTAAGAAAAAAAAACTTGAGTCTTAGTTTCCTTTTGACCTCTGGGTTTGCCTCCGCCCTCCCAAGTGCAAGGCCCACCCATGTGGTAGACCTCTCCATGCAGGTTACTGGGGGTGTCGTCCCCTAAACT